ACTTCAAGTACTTGGGAAACATAATCATGATTGATGCTCTATGCACCAAGGAGGTAAAAGCAAGGATAGCCATGGCCAAGGCAGCTTTCGTCAAGAAGAGGATAATTCTCACTAGCAAGTTGGGTTTGGAGCTGAAGAAGAAACTAGTGAAGTGTTACGTATGGAGTGTCACACTGTATGGAGCAGAGACTTGGACACTCAGGAAGAAGGAACAAAAATACCTGGAGAGTTTTGAAATGTGGTGTTGGAGAAGAATAGAAAAGATCAGGTGGACGGATCGAGTGACCAACGAAGAAGTATTGAGGAGAGTCAACGAGCAAAGAAACATTCTGCAGGCGATTACACGAAGGAAAGCTAACTGGCTGGGACATATTATGAGAAGGAATGGATTACTGAGTGTTATCATCGAAGGCCAGGTTGAAGGAAAGCGAGGACTGGGAAGAAGACTGATACAGATAACTGACGATCTCAAACAAGGAAAGAAGATGAAGTTTCACGAGTTAAAATGAGAAGCTGTGAATAGGGAAAACTGGCGAACTCTTTTTGGGCAGAACAATGGACCTGTCGTCACACAGAACACTAAATAATAATAATAATAATTTCAAATCTATCATAACAATTAATACTTGGTTGTTGGTTTGGAGTCCATATTCAAAACAGTAAAGTTACAAAGAACAAGTAAAGGGAAGTTGGATTCTTCGCAGGTTCATAAAGCAAGGTATTTAAGGCAAGGTACTTCCAGCTGTCACTAGTTTCTAATGCGCCCCAATACACATTAACACCAGGTTGTAATACGAGTAGTGCAATTGCACACGGCTTTAAATTGTGGGAAGAAAGTACTCATGAGATGAATGTTGGTATCCAAAGAGATGGCTGACAGAGGAAAAATGTATTCAGCTGTTACTTTAATTTTATATTACCAAGAATTGAGAAAATGAACACATTCATGAGAGATGCTACTGCAGTAGCAGCTCCCTCACTGACCAAATCTCCACCTGGGGCAATATTGCACTCTAGAAGCAAATCCTACTGTGGCTGCAACTTAATTCATACCTCCACCACATAATACAATTTGCATCATGATACTTGGTTTAACAAATTCATTCAGGCCATGTCCGAAGTATGTTGTGTATTAAACATGGATAAAACACTTTTAGAAATGCTGATGCAGGAAGCATGCGTGATAATGCATCTGTGAATCTTTGCATCATCTACTCCACTATGACAAAATATTCAATCTTCTGTTGACGAATAAGCAAGTGACTGGCTGTTACCTTTCTCCTGAGGTTGTTTTTTAGCATAAAAAATTGGATTTTAGATTTTCACAGCAGTGGGTATGAAGATGGCTGTCTTCTGGGTTGTAGTGCTGCATAGTCTTTAAATGTAACTCATTTTCAAGAAAGATGAAAAACAATACACTAATAAATAGAAACAAGGGATTCAGGAGGAAAGTGTAACAACAATAAAACTTTCCATGTTACAGCATATATATTCCACAAATAGAAATTTATTACATTGTTTGCACAAAAAGCTGCCTCTTCACCTATTCCAAACCCAAGCTTTCTTTAACCAAAGACATTTTACAGACTGTTTTTCCAAGGGCCCCAAACATAGTGGGGAAAATGCATTTTATCTGGACCCAACTCACAAAACAGTGACAAATTAAAAAGGTTCTATTAAAATCACAAGAAAAATAACTGTTACATGAAACAAGACTAAAAAAATTCAATTAAAAAAATTAAGAATTATGTAACAAACCCCACTTTTATGTTTTCATATAGCTTACTACCAGGTTTATAAAATACAGCTAAATAAGCTTTAGAAATAAGACAATATAACATATGAAATATAGATGGAAATGTATGTGCAGATGGACTGAAAATAAAAAGCCCTATACTACACTGATTCCAACCTGTTCAGGTTCAAAATGCATGTTTTTAATTATGATGGCACTGAAGTCTATCCCTCATTGGATACAGTAGAGATGGATAGTAATTCCAATTACATTCTGTCCCTTCAAAGAAACCAGATGAGCTGGATTGTAACTTGAAATGACTGAAATATTGAGTTAAGGATTTTTATGCAAGCTTTTTCAGTTGATGGATGCCAAATACTGGCATACAGTGACATTTCCATTCAATTCAGCTTTTCAGTTAGTGATCATATACTATGTAACTGCATGGCAGAAACATGATTCATGACCAAAACTGCTCTCCAATGAAGGCTTTCATTACAAGGATTATGAAACAAACAATGATACACCAGAACATAGAACATCCCCTCTACTATGTAAAAGTAAAGTCTCAATTTTGTAAAAATAAATGTATATTGACACATGTATCTGGGAAGAATATCAGGCTTATCATATTGTGGACAAATACCCCATTACAAACAGCATATTTGATGAGAATTACACAAAGAATAAGAGATACTAGGACATTCACCTGCCCACGTGCCACTTGTACATGAAGCCAAAGACACATCACAAATCTGTCACATCAGTATTCAAGACCTGTATACATCAGTCAGTAATAGGAGGCAGTATTGCATCACCTTGTAACCTATTCATGTTCATTTGTGTGGAAGTAAACTGAGTTCTATTGAAATTTAATAATCTGCCTTTAACTGTTGGAGCAGTGTAGATGGAGAGATGCCAAGAAGTATCAATGAGCCAACATTGTCTGTCCCCTAAACAAACATTTACCTTACCAAGTGCTCAGGATAAACTATCGGACCAAAGACGAGTGAACATAGCAACAAAACCTGATCAAAAATGTCACCTTGTACTGTTATGACAGATACATCTATGTGGCTTGAATGTGGGACCCAAGAACTACAAACAGAATTTTGGTGGAGAAAACCCTGGAGGCAGCTACTTCAGAGACTCAAAACAGGATCTAAGATTGATCTTCAGGAGATAGGCTGGATGGAACTGGCTTAGGATCATGCTGAATATACAGGTTCTCATGTTAGCAGTAATGCCCCTTCAAGTTCTGTCCCATTTTGGTAGAAACTGATACTTTTTTGCTTGTAATCATTATAGTGACTAGTACTTAGGTTGGATGATCTGAAGCTTTCACAGCAACAAAGTTTAATAAATTCTTCTTGGGCTACTAGCCGCATAAGGTGGTTTAATGAAGAAAACACCGTTTCAAGAACCATGTAATGACAGTACCCTGAGGACAAGGACAAAGATGGTTCTCGAAACGTTAGTGTTTTCTTCATTAAACCATCTTACATGGCTGGTAACCCAAGAAGAATTCATTATGGATAGTAGGTTATTTGGTGCCACTGCAATGTATAATGATTAAACTTTTTTATATAAAGTATGGAAACATTCAGTATAAAGCAATCGCACCAAATGTGGCTGCTGTTAGATGCATTAACCTGCAAGCTTTATTTTCTACACTGCCAGGGAAATTCCTTATGATGACAGTTTTATAAAACTTTTATTTCCAAATACATTCTGTTTCTCACACCGTTTTAAAGCTCCGACTGTGAACTAAACAGCTCTATCGGAAACCGTTCGGAATAGGACACATGTCCATGTACACTTTTTTGCTTAGAATAACCGATACTATGACCTCCCAGAATATTGACCTTTCATCCTGGGACACCCTGTATATGTAACTCACTAAAACATTAAATTATTTTGCATTTTCCTCTGAAATGTGTTTATGGATGTCACATGATTCTTAGAATAAAGAGCAAAAATGCCCCTAAAATGCATAAACTGATTGATCTTTGAAATGGAAATGTTTTCTGTGAGGTATGGACTGGATTATTAAAACTATTTCAATGAACTTTGTGCTTCAGGTTAAAGATAGTTGAAATATGACCCTGAACACTGCTGCTATGTATACACAATTTTTTCTAAAGGTTGGCAATTTTGATAATGGCCTGTACTGTCAAGAAGTTTCAATATGTGGCAGCCAGAGTTTTAAAGTATTTTATTACATTTATATACTTGGATTAACTGTAAACTGTGTGATGGAGATTTCAGTCACCTGGTTATTAAAATAAATCATTATGCTGGCAAGTTCCATTTACTGCTCCAAGGGTTAATAACACAAACAGGAATACTTCTGTTGTTTCAACATAACCACCTTACTTCTAGACAACATGAATTGATTCTCATTGTGATGTTACATTAACAGCACCCTAGTTAATGGGTCCAACTTCTACGTAGTCAAATTGAAAGGCTGATGTTGGAGGAGTGGAATGATCCATGATTACTTCCCCGATTGCGGCACCAGATTCAAGATCCAGTTCCTGATGGCAGTGCGTTGGTCTAGAGGATAATGGTATGGCCCAGTCCTGTACACTTCCACTGCCTCCTACATCAAGACCAATGCGAAGGTTGGCAGGAGTGTTGCCTATAAAATGGTCTTCTGTGAATGACAGCAGATCCTTCAGCATAAACCTGGAAAAAAAAAATCACAGCATAACATACTTTATTCTACTAAAATGCTCACACGGTCCTTCGTGCTTTGGCCACTGTCAGCGTTAAATTATTTAAGCCTATTAAAAAGTTCACATCTATGAATACATTATATTATAAAATAAAATGTCTAAATATCAATCTCACAGCACAGAAACAACACTACCGAACACTACATAAACTCAGATTGTTACCTTGGACGGTATTCCACAAATTTTTTCATCAACAGCACATCCTAATTCATCAGACACAAGATGGCACACCACAAAATTTCAAATAATGAAAAAACAGTATGCAACTACATATGGCCATAAATATGTATCTACATATTAATCCTTGTGGAATTAGAATACATGCATATGAAAACAAAACGTAACACATTCCAATTAAAACTATCGACTATGAACCAGTGTGTGTTTAGGGTTAGAGGTTTTCACAGCAGTGAGTCTGAAGATGGCTGTCTTCTGGGTTGTACTGCTGTGTAGTTTGGCAGAAGTTACTGCTTACAGCATCACGGCACCCTGATAATAGAGGCAGCAAGGACCTCTAAAACGTTGGTAAAATTATACCAGACTACAGTGTACATGTGTGTGTGTGTGTGTGTGCACATGCACGCACAGATGTATGAGGGAGAGAGTGAGCGAGCATGAGTGTCTGTATATTATAAATTCTAATTACAATTGATAAGATACTGCCTGTTTCATAAGAAACTGTCCTTGAATGATTACGTCACATTTAATATTCCAGACTCCTTTTCTGGCACAGTCCAATTATTTCTGTTAAATACTTTTAACTGAAGGTCTCTCTCATCACCAGTTTTGAAATTGAATGTCCCTGAGATGAATATTATATGGGAATTTAACTATTACATGACTGTTCAATACATACAAATCTACCAGTCTGAATGTTAATGATCTGACAGATATTCGTACTCTAAACAAATGGTGTGTTGTGATGCTAAAAACCAAGATATCAGAGTGAAGTGTTTAAAAAAAGTCAGAGTAGCTTATGGTATCACAGCAGTGTGTTTTTTCCACTAGTTTCATGAAACTTGGTATGAACATCATGCCACTAGAAACTGCCCCAACTTTGCGCTTCCTAATTGCTTATCTACAATAATATTGATGTAGCTAACCATATAAACTTCTGTGTACAGTAGGGCCCGGCTTTTCGGCGCTCCGCTAATACAGCGCTCAACAGCTGAGTCAGAGAAGTGCGTCCGGTGCCATTTTCTCGTCGCTGATTCAGTCTGTTTACAGCTTTTGTGCGCTCCGCGTCTCTCTGTATTTCTGGCAATTTTTCAGTTATTACAAACTGTATATTTATATAATATTTTTGTGTTACTACAGTGTAATTACAATGGCGTCTAAGGGTAGTAGCGATAAAAAGAGGAGTCGTAAGCCTCTTACTTTAAATGCCAAGTTAGAGATGATTAAACTTCG